TAAGTCTCTAAAAGGCCCTGAGAAATTGTCTGCATCATCTTGTAAGTGATGAAAGTTCCTCTGTGGACTCTCAGCTCTCTTGCTCCCGCTCTTCACATTCCTTGGATGACCCAGCTTCCGGGCACACAGTCTGCTCGGGATGACGGTGTCTTAATCCTCAGTCCTGATCGTCTTCCTGCCCCTAGACGTGATACTCTAACTTTAGTACATATGCTGTCAAAGGCTTTGAACACAAAGCCTATTTTTATTTTCATTCATATATATATATATGGGGCGGGTACTGGGGGATCAACCTCTGGCCCTTGTGCTTGCAAGGCAGGCAGCAGAACCACTGAGCTAAATCCCCAGCCCCTAGACTGGGTACTCCAATTCCCACTAAAGACCTCCACCAGTGTTCTCACGGTCCACTCAAGCTCTGCTTCTCCAAAGTCCTAGTCATCATTTTCCTACCCCCAGCCTTTTCTTTCTCCCACATCCCCTAGGCCAGTGGTAGTTGTCCCACTACAATGTGGCTGAAATCACAAATCTGCACTGAATTCACTCCTTATTTCTCCTCACCCCACATATCCAGTCAATTTCTGAGCACTGTGATAAATGACACCCCAAATTAGTTCTTGAACCCATCATGTTTTCCCTGTTTACACCATCATCACCATCTAAGCCACCGTATGTAGTTTCTGGCTGTCTTCATTGTTCAATATTTAATGATTCCTCCATGTTTCAGCAAGGTGAAGATTATATAACATGGACCCTCAAATTTCTCTTCTCCTCAGTTTAAAATCCGAACTTGGCCCCTTTTTATCCTCAAGGTCTAGTCAGTGCTACTTCACTGAACTTCCACACCCTTTTAAATCTGACCGGCTATTTCTCCACTTGGTCTCTTTGCTTACCATTTTTAGACCACGTTCAAATCCTCGAATGTGCCATATTCTCTTACCTTTATCTAAGACAAAAATGAAAGCCTTGTTCCTTGGAGTCAAATTTTAATGAATACACTTTCCCTCTACTCCTGCATAGAATTTCTCTTCTCTGCTCCCACTAGCTTTTCTGACCACCTTGTTCATTATCAAAAAAAGAAACAAATCAAGAAACCTCTCCTTGTCAGATGTTCAGTCAGACTCCACTTTTTCTGTAATGCTTTTCTTTTCCCCTTCTGTTCGATAATGCTTTTCTCTCTGGTGTTCTTCACAGGTCATCTCATGAACTCTCTCCCACCACTCTCCCTCCACTAATCATAACAGTCTGTTTATCTCCCACGACACCACATGCCCCATGGAGAAGCTCAGACTCTAAGTCTCTTGGTGTCCCACTTGTGCCTCTGATATCAAAGCCCACATTCTTTCCACTGTAAGACTTGGAGTTAACCTTTAGGCAATGGGGAGCTACTGAATGCTTAAGGAAAGCACATTGAGTTTGTATTCAAGAGAGAAAACTCTGAGAGTGCTAAGATGGAAATACTTGAGACACGAGAGGCAGGCATGTCTAATTCAGAAATGGTAATGGCCTAATTAGGTGGGGAAAAGAAGATAGAGACTAGAAATATTTATGAATAAGGTGTAGTAATTAAGTGTAAGGCAGAGGAAAAAGTAGGGTTCAAGACTGATCCTGAATTTCAGGTGACTTTGTGAAGTTGCCTCAACTTCCTTATGCTTGAAACGTTAGATGGCAAAGATGATTCATTTCCTAAGGAAGGCTGTATGTGAGTGAGGACAGGGATTTAGCTCAGTGGTTCTACTGCCTGCCTCGTTAGTGCAAGGTCCTGAGTTCGATCCCCTGTACACCCCCCTCCCAAAAAAGAAGGCTCCGTGTAGGTTCAATTTACAACTTAATCAGTTTTATAACTTAAATTCCTTAGTTAGGTCTTCTGAGTCTTACAGTCTTTTGCTGTTACATTGGGTCTGTAAACCTATTTCACAGAATTAGATATTTTCTACCTATTTTTCAATCCCTGGAGCTTCAGGGAGAAGATTTTAGACGAGCAGATGTTTTGTCAATGGAGACCTCATTTATTGGCCAAAGGAATGGTTTAATGTTTAAAGTAGAGTTCCACGGATGCAAGTTAGTGGATAGGTAATATTTACAAAATGACAGGAAAAAGTAGCAATGTAGTGTAGAGGTACTTAAAACAAAGCCCCTAGAGCTTGCAATCTTTAAAGTTAAAACTGTTTGAATGACACCTATAAACTATTGGCATTTTAAAATATGTTTTCACGGATGGGCTCAAGCCTTTCAGATTCTACATGACACTTTAAATATAGAAACAGATAGGACAATCTACCTCTACTCCACTGACCTAGACATTAATGAGATTTGCAAAAATGTAAAACAATACTACCATTCCTTCTACATTTTCTTTTTTTCTCATTGTTTTTCGAAAGGGTTATTTTTAGTTAAAAAGTTTTATGTTGACACCTACAGTTATTATTTTAAATAGATCAATAGAATTACTTTTAAATTTCTGTTTTAATTTCTAACCAGTAAGTATCAATAGATGTTACCAACATAAACAACAGCTCTTAAAGTCCTCGGTGACTATTAAGACCCTAGAAATGTCCTGAGTACAAGAAGTGGGCAAACTCAATGCAATGATTCTGCAGCATGTGACTTCAGGGGACAACATACTCGGGAACATGAGCCATGAGGGAAACCCCCATTTCATGAAAGACAGTAAATAGCGTACATTTGATGAACCAAATGGTAACTACCAGTCAGAATCTTTCTTCCCCGACACCCTGACTTCAGCTTCTTGCACCTATTTTCGCAGCTCCAACCCACTCACATACTGTCCTGTGTGGCCAATGCATTTCTGATCCTGATGGAATAATTTTAAATTTGTTGCACGTAAGAGCCAAATTAAGTGCCTTTTTTCAAAGCAATGTAAAGGAGGCGAAGTAAGAGCTGTTCCTTGATTTTTGCCTAAGTTTAAGTTTGCCAGAGTCTGGGTTTTGGAAGTCAGGCTTCAACTGTGCAGTCAAGAAAAATGACCTCCAGGGAGTGTTTCTTAACCCGGTGAACATCAGAGAGGCTTTTTCTGAGAATGACTGATTACACAAAGTCTAATACTAAGTCATATAGTAAGAGCTCTCGAGAAGATGTACAATGAGTTAGAAACTGATTTCTATTTCTCCTTATCTAAGAGAACTGGTAAGAAAAAAGACAAAAACAAAACAAAGAAAGAGGTGCTGATCTGGTCTAGATTTTTACTTCACGTCCTGCAACATCTGTGCGTTTTTGTCCTGAGCCTTTCAGTAGAAGAGATTCTCCCACCCTCCTTCCTCTTCCTCTTCATTCTCATCTTGAGTGTTTCGTGTTTCCTTTGGAATGTACCCACACGCTAAAGAAGTGGTAAGCTGAATTGTGACTCTGTTCTAATGGGAACAACCATGATTCTAACAAATACCTTATTTTCTCCTTGATATTATTTTCTGTAACCCATTGATTATTCAAGAGGGTGTCATTTGATTTCTTTTTTTGGTTTTTTCAGACAGGGTCTCACTATGAAGTTCAAACTGACCTGGAACTCACTATGTAGCCGAGGCTGGTCTTGAACTCACAGCAATCCTCCTGCTTCAGCCTCCCATGTACTGGGATTACAGGCATGCACCACCACACCCGGCTACATGTCATTTAATTTCCATGTGTTTGCATAGTCTATGTAGTTTCTTTTGACACAGATTTCTTGTTTCATTGCACTATGATCTGATAATGTATATGGGATGATTTTTATTCTTTTGCATTTACTTAAGCATGCTTTACGAACTAGTATATGATCTTGGAGAAAGTCCCATGTGCTGCTGAGCAGAAGATATTCCGTTTTTGGATGGAACATTGTAGATGTTTATTAAGACCATTTGTTCATTGTTATTCTCCAATTATTTTGTTATAAAATTTTATCTTATTTTTTCATAATAGAAGTGTCTGTTTATACTTTCTTTATTAACATCTACTTATATTACATTAAAATTTAAAAATTTGGTTCAACTCTGATGTTTCTTCATTGATTTTTTTTTGGTCTAGTTGATTTCCATGGCAAGTTGACTTTTTAATTTGGTAAATTTCTTATGAATTGCTGTGTGATTCAGTAAGAGAAAGTATGCTTTGTAGTAACATTGAGTAATACAAAAGAGAAAGAGATAATCTTCTTCAGAGAATACATAGGCAGATGCAGCTAAGACAAAATTGTGCGTCCCTTTCCAAGGACTCTTCCAGCAATGTTTCAGAGCTGTAGAGAAAGGACACAGTAAGTTGTCTGAATGAAAGAAAAATCAGATCTGAATGCTTTCTCCGAGAGAACTACAGGAGTAGTGGCTACTATACTACCACTTTCTGCAAGAGAAATCTATGAACACTGAAACAAAAACAAAACCTCTATTAGAAAGGTTTTGGTTGTGGTTTGCCTAAAACTGCCTTTAATCAGACTTTAACTCACAATTCCCAATTCGTTTCCCTTCAGTCCAATTTCCCTGCTGCTTCTACATGGAATATGCAGGGGGTGTGAACTCCCACTCTTGAGAGAGAGAGAGAGAGAGCTGGAGCCGAGTTAAGTTTCTTCAAGAACCACATGTAAATCCCAGTGCAGGTGTGAGATTCAGCTGTACAAACACAATGCAACCCCAAAACACAAGGAAGATAAGTGTTGCACTGAAAGTTCCTCTGTCCATTGTAACTATGTAGTCTCATCTCTTGCCCTGAAAGAAAATACTTCATAGATATAAATAACATCAATATTATTTCTTCTTTCTTTTTCATTGACCATCTGTGAAGAATGTCCCAGAGACTCTTTTCATATTTAATAAATATCAATGGATAACAGCAATTCATTTCTAAATTGAACTTTTCAAAGGAGATTTTTATTTATTTACTTATTTTTGGTACCGGGATCGAACTTGGTTCCTTGTGCTGTCGAGGCAGGCCGCGGCACCACTGAGCTAAAGCCCCAGCCTTAAAAGGAGATTTTTAAATATTGAGTATTTACATACCTTATAAGAAAATATCTTCAGTTTTCAGCCTCTGAAAGAACAAAATCAAAACTTCTTGAGCAAGTTTACTGGATGGAGGACAAACTAGAAGCTGTGGACGTTAAGGAAGCCAGTAGGGAATTATATGAAAAAATAATTCTAATAAAAGACCAGGTATGTTTTGGAGGAAAAAATAATCTTTCTTTTAAAAGTTATTTAACCTTATATGAATTGATAACTCTACAAATGCTGAAAGTGCATATTTAAGGTCATGATGGTAAATACCAATGTTTGTGTTTTTTAAAAGTAATTGTATTCCCTGATGAATATTGGCATAAAATAAATCTGTTATTTATATTTTTAAAACTTGGTATGTATCCTCTTGACTAATATAAGTTGCACATTCTACTTTATAAATGATATTGGCTACACAGATGTTTCTTATGTTCTAAGTTGAGACTAGCCAAGGAATAGTTTATATGTAGTAAAACAAACAAGTAGATCGGAAAAATTTGGCATATGTTTTCAATCAATTAATTCACCAGAAATAATCTCTGAATATCTGGATATTTTATATGTATCATGATATAAATTCACTTCTTATTCAACCCAAAGGTTTTGTATCAGCTTTTGGAATATACAGATATGTTTTTATATTTGAGGGTGTGTGTGTGTGTGTGTGTGTGTGTGTGTGAGAGAGAGAGAGAGAGAGAGAGAGGGAGGGAGGGAGGGAGAGAGGGAGGCAGGGAGAGACAAGGTATGTTAACATTAACTTTAACACATCACAGAGACATTATTTTCCTTGAGCATTTCCTAGTTCTTAAACTTGTGTATTTGCCCTCAGGCTCTTCCTCAGAATGGAAGAGGAAGAGGGACGGGGAAACACAAACTCTGTAATGGTGCTTTCCAAAGCGAGTAGTTGAGATAATAATTCTGCCATTCCCTGTGCTCACTTTGGCAGCACACGTACTGTCATTCATAAGATTTGATAACTGATACATATTCAGATCTACAATACTTTGGATATATGAAAGGAAGAGTTATGCACTTGGTTTTTTTATACTTTTTCAATTTCAGTGCATTGAGAAGCTGCAAGCTGAAATAAAAGCTTCCCAGAAACAACTTAAAGTCCATGTAAGTATTTTTCTTCTTTTTTAATCCATTTATTTATATCATTGTTATCCTGAAGAGTGAATAGACATTTTCCAGAAGTTAAAAATGAGTGAATTTTGCTACAAACCAAATCACAAAGCTAAAAAAAAAATCAGGATTTTCCTGCCTCTACCAAGTGGGTCTTTGTACATACAGTTTTTATTTTTGCTGATGATAAAAATGACAAGCTGATATCTTACATATAATCAGATGGTCGAGTCAGGTCTATCCTGATGGCTACCAGAATAAAAGAGGGAAACTAAGGGTAGTGAATGACAACAGGTTAGTTTAGTGAGTAGGTGAAGTGATGAATTGTGGCAATTAGAGACACTTCAAATATAGGTCTAAATCTTCGGCATATGTAAAACTCACCTAAAAAGCCTCTTAAAAGTTGCTCAGAGATTTTGTTTCCTGAATGCCTAGGATGGAACCCGAGAACCTGCACATGCAGGTGATCTTAGAGTCAAGTCACGCCAGTGGGTCACACTTTGGCCAGCACATTTTACATATATTCTTTCCTACCCAGTCTCGTAATTGTCAGGTGAGTGGCCATTTAAACCAGAGTACATAGTTGTCCATTTTCTCCTGTAAGTACTCACTTGAGTGAAATACCATGGATTTCCAGGGCAAATTTCATTCCTACTGTAGCCTCTGTATTATTGAACATTTCCTACCCCGATACCTTTGGACACTCACAGTCATAAACCAGCCAAGGATGCAAACAATTCTAATGCCTTCATGAAGTTGCCTCCAAAGACTTGCTTGCCATTCTGTTCATGATTTCTTCCATCTATTTTGTCTGCTGTTGTAATTTCTGGATTAAAGACACTGGCTGGTCATTTTAAATGGCCATTGTAACATCACCAAGTTCTTCACACAGCTCTGGGAACTGAAATCCTGGATTGCAAAAAACTTGCAGAAAAGAAAAAGAAAAAAAAAAGATACAATACAGGAAGGGAGAGGGAGAGAGGAGAGGGGAGACTGCAAAATATTAAATTTTGATGATCTTCCCTTTCAATGAACCTATGAACTCTTCTTGGTAAGAAGCTCAGCAATTGCCCTATTTCTTGTCATAGATGAGGGAAAAGCTAATCTATCCTGGCAGTTAGCAGAGCTTTTAACACTAAATTCGAAGTCATTTGGGGTCTTGCACGTTCACTCGACCAATACTGAAAATGATTTCTACCTGCATTGGAGGCGCTGTGACACAGTCTAGCAGAAGTATGCCTCATTAGCCCAGAATCCTGTGGAAGGTGTCTCTTCCTGGCCTGCCCCTGACAATGCCCCAACATGACTATTGTCACAGGAATTCCCTTTCGATGGATCGTTACCTACAGCCACATGTATAAAGGAAGGTTTTAGCTCAGCATTTTCAAAGGAGAACAGATGTAGTCACTGGGGTTATCTCCAGCATCTCTTCCTGAAAAAAATAGTCACTTGTGCCTTAGGGAGATTCCTGTGGTATTTTCCTCCTTTGCCTAGTTTTATGGGTTCTCTGTTTCTCCCATGATGCTACCGTCCCAGGCTTGTCTGCACTGGGGCCCCTTCTTTACATGGGGTATTGTAACTTCTCATATATAATTGTCCAACATTCGAACTTCAACACAGTGTATTTACCTCAATTCAGCAAGAAAAATTTCAGTTTCAAATGAAAGCAACATTAAGAATAGTATTTACTGAGAGTGGCCTGTGCCTTTCTAGATTATGGAAGGTGCTTTGTACATTATCTATTTTAAGTCTGTATACAACACAACTAGGTGAACATTATTTTTATATTAGAAAACTGAATCTTAAAAATGTTGTATTGCTCGTCACACTCTGAAACCAGTGATTTTGCTATCACCACTCAATGCTTCTCCAAATTATATTCTCTCCATGCCATTTAAGGTGTCACATGGAATGTGTAAAGTCTCCAACCTCCTGTTTTCTTTTTATTCACTCTTAGTGACTCATCAGTTCATAATGTTGCTGCTCTAACTGCCATGCAAAATAAACAACCACCTCCACTACCATCAAGTTTTTTTCTGTCTTAATCATCCCCTCATTACAGCTCTTCAGTGTTTTAAAAAACATTTCTTAAAACACTGTCCCTAGAGGAAGCACTCCACAGGTAACAGGTATCCTGGGAAAAAATGGAGGAAGAGGGCTAGAAACAAAATTAAGTTAAATGTATTTAGTTTTTGGAGGGATTATCCATGCTATAACCAATTTCCAAAGGTGTTCGACCATCATTGGCGTCTAAAAACACAAAGGTTGGGAGATTGTTGGCCTATTGCATCAAACCAAAGCTCCTTTCTTCCTAAATATGACCTGGGTCTTATTTTGATTTGGTGCAAACACAAAATCAAATTCATCACCTTCTATTCCCATCTCCCAGTTATGGCTGTTTGTGTTTCCTAGCCATGGTGATTAATCTTACACGGCTGTTATTGATTCGAAATTCCAACTATAAAGCAGTTTTAAAATCCTGCCTCCCTGCCTCCACCTACATTTAGTTACCTGTCAAATGCTGAGTACGCTTCTTCACACTGTTTCACTTCTGAGTCTTCTGTTCCATCATACTGCCACTTCTCCAGGTCTTTCTGATTATCTCCTGGGTTAGTGACTATGACTGGCACCAAATAATTAAATATGCAAGATGAAAGCCTCCTACTTCCCCACCACCGTACAAAGTACCCACTGGCTTTGACCCCAGCAAGTCCTCTTTGCTGAGAAGAGAAAGGATAAGCTGGGCATGCGGCTTGGTGGTACAGCACTTGCCAGGCATGTGTGAAGCCAGGTACCTGACACGCCTTAAATAGCTCACAGTCACACTAAAGTTTAAAATTCCTGTCTGCCCTCCTGAAATGTTTAAAGAGCAGCTCCTCTTGGCACATAGTTGGGCACCCAGACCGCTCTATCCAGGCTGCTAAGCTAATGCCCAGGGCATTTTCATCAGTCCCTCCCACAGGACTACTTAATCCACTTAGAGATCTACGCAGGATAAAACAGATATTCGAAGAAAATATTTATAATCACTTGGAGATAATTGTTCATATGAAGGTAATTTGAGTAGGGGATAGTTATCTAAAGGAAGAATTCCTTTAAAATTAATATTTTTGATATAGTTGAATCCATTTCTTGCCTATTTTTAGTACTTGGAGGTTTAAGCATTTAGTCTGTACATCTACTCTTTCACTAGTAATCTGATGATTTTCACATGTCCACCCTACGCGCCAGGCCATCTCTGGGCAGTTAGCTAGCCACAAGACCAGTCCAGGGCCAAACTTCTGTAACATTCAATGGGATTATTTGAAAAATGGAAATCTGGGTAACTGGGCTGTAGGCATTCAAGTGTTGTTATTTTCAGTGCTACCCTGTGTGTTTGAACTATCTCATAATCTAAAAAGCTAAAAATCTAAATGAAAGAATCCTTCACATGAATTGTGTAGCTTGCTCCAGTCTGCAGGACGGAAGTATTTGTCTCCGGAGGGAAATGCTGCACCATATAGGACCATGAGAACTTTCCCAAAGAGTTGGTTTAAATTCTTCCTTTAGTTCTTTGAAGAGCTAAAAATTGCCATTTTACTTTCTAAGTTAAGTATCTCCAAGAGCTCCAGTTAATAAAGTGTGCAGATTTTCCATGCCCTGAAAGCTCCAGACCTTTCATATATTGATCTTTTCCTACATGGGCAGTTTTCTTGGGTTTTGTTTTGTTTTGCTCTGCTACCAACCATCCATTAACATGCCTTTGGCAATAATAACCAGATGTACTTTTCAGTTGTGAGAGCCCACTGTGTGCTCTCTTAGTGAGCTTGTAATTCAAAGTACCCCATCAGGGAGTAGCAGGAGAGGGGTCTAACCCTTAAGCCAACTGACTCTTTCTGCAGGGAATCTGCGTGTTAACTCAGGTGAAGTAAGAAAAGAATAACAGCTATATACTGATAACAGAAGAAGGTACATTCTGCCATTGATGCTCAGACCTAACAGCAAAGGAGTTTATGCTGTCTGGACCAGCGTTGTTTAGATAATTTTGTGAATGAGATTCTCAGAGCTCTTAGGAGCCACCCAATAACCATCAGCACCCCTGCATCCCTTTGTCTTTAAATAGGTCAGAATCAGATTCAATTTTTTGTATAACTGAGAAGCCATAATTCTTACCTTGCCTCAGTGCTTTTCAGAAGCATTCACATCATCTGAGGCTTATTTAAAATGCAAGTTTTGAGGTCCCTAGTCTGTACGTCCCAAACCAAAAACTCTGCAGATGGGAATCTATCAATGTTTGTTTTTTAAAGTCCTCTAGGGATTCTGATGCTGGGGAACATCTGAGAAGTATTGTACTGCCCAGTGAAGGCTCTATTCCTTGCAACCTAGATCCTCCATTCTGACCAGCACATTGTCCCTGCCCAGCATCCTGCTCATGGGTGATCCCTCGAGTTTCACACGGCCCAGGAAACATCTCCAGGCCTATTTAACATAGCACATCTCAGCACAAGGTACTTGTTCATTCAGCTGATAAACCAAAAAGAAAATGATCTCCCTGCCCTTATTCTCTGAATCCCATACTCCTGTGTACTCCAGAAGCATCACTTCATTCCTGAAGCCTGTTGTGACTGATTCTCCTGGAAAGTGACAGTAATTAACACCGTGGAGTCACCTGAGAACATACACTTTTCCACATGCTCCTGCCCAAGTTATGTCATTTATTTTTTCATAACAGTGTGATGAGGTATTACTCTTCCCCCATCAGATGAAGAAAGAGTCAGAGACACTAGGATCTTTGCTTACATTGAATAGCCAACATTGTAATGTAGCAAAAATTCTAATGCTCTTGTTCTGACTTTGGGGCTCTTATTTCTAAGCTCTGTTTCACTTCCAATTCTGAAGTTTTGATGCCTATATATGCCAATGCACATATAGTGATTATGGCATTATTTTTTTTTTATTTTTCAACTTTATGCATTCTTCAGACCCTGAGGCAGAATTAATCAACCTGTGAGACT